AATCTTATCAATTAGAAACTAAATCAAAAGCATCAATAATTTTAAAAAAGAATAAATTTTATGTGAAATCTTCAAGTTTTAAAGATGCTCCTCTTTTTATTGTATTTAAAGCATTAGGTATTGTTAATGATAAAGAGATTATTGAATTAATTGGAACTGAACCAAGTATAGTAGAGAAATTATTAATGAGTTTTTAGGATACATCAGATGAAAAAGTTAAAACATAATAAGATGCATTATAATATATTGGAAAATTAATTACTAGTAAATTTGGTGGTCAATCATCTAATTAAGCAGAATAAGCAAGAGAGAAATTAGCATAAGTCTTTTTAGCACATGTCAATTGCAAAAAATATGATTTCTATCCTAAAGCTATATATTTAGGATAAATGGTTAGAAGATTAATATTAGCAATGGAAGATAAAAGATTTGTTGATGATAAAGATTATTATGGAAATAAAAGAATGAGATGTGCAGGAAATCTTCTTGAATTATTATTTGAAGATTTATTTAAAGGATTAAATTCAACTATATCTAGTATACTCAAAAAGGAATTAGGTAAAGCTAATTGTAAATTCACTCCTAAAGATGTTACTATGAAAATGAAAGAATTTGGAGTAGATATCACTAAAGGATTAAATAGAGCAATTAAAACAGGAAAATGGACTATTCAAAGATTTCATATGGATAGATAAGGAGTTACATAATTATTAGCTAGAATATCATATACATCTGCTCTTGGTATGTTAACTAAAATGAGAAGTTAAGTCTAAAAGACACTTAAAGTTAGTGGACCAAGAGCTTTAGTTGGATCTTAATTTGGAATGATTTGTCCTGCAGATACTCCTGATGGTGAAGATTGTGGTTTAGTTAAGACTTTAGCATTATTAACACATATAACTTAAGAAGATATATAAGATAGTGTTTATAAAATTATATTAACTATGGGAGTAGAAGATATATGTCATTTTAAACCAAGTGAATTTCATAAGAATTATATTGTTTATTTAAATGGTATTATAGTGGGAATGCATGCTAGACCTTAAACTTTTGTTGATTAATTAAGAATATTAAGAAGGAGAGGTAAGATTAATGAATTTGTTTCAATACATAAAGATGATTTAAGGAAAGTTGTAAATATATCTGGTGATAGTGGTAGATTAGTTAGACCATTGATTCTTGTAAAAGATGGTAAACCTTAATTAACTTAAATTGACATGATTGATTTCAAGTAGAATGATGCAAAAACAGTATTTTCTAATTATGTAAAAAATGGGAAGATAGAATATTTAGATGTTAATGAATCTGATAATGCATTTATTGCATTAACTATAAATGATGTTACAATTGAAACTACTCATTTAGAAATAGATTAAATGACAATTCTTAGTTGTGTAACTGGTTTAGTTCCATTTCCACATCATAATCAAAGTGCGCGTAATACATTTTAATGTCAAATGGGTAAATAATCATTAGGTATAATTGGAATGAATACATAAATAAGATGTGATACTTAATTGTATCAATTAATATATCCACAAACTCCTTTAGTTCGTACTGTGTCTATGGAGGCTGTCAATCAACATAGATTACCTGCTGGACACAATGCTTAAGTAGCAGTAATGAGTTATTCATGTTATGATATAGAAGATGCATTAATAATGAACAAATCTTCTTTAGATAGAGGATTTGGTAGAACTGCAGTCTATAAAAAATCAGTTACTGAATGTGAAATCAATTAAAGAAATAAGGAAAGTAGATTTAATGAAAGAATTGATGAACCACCAACTAAAACACATAATACAAAAAAGAAATTTATTAAGAAATATCATGCTCTTGATAATGATGGTATAACTAAAGTAGGTGCATAATTACATCATGGAGATATATATGTTAATAAAAAGACACCTTAAGTTCCAGATAATCCTTTAATTGAAAATATATAAATAGCAGATACTCCATCTGTATTTAAAGAAAAGTGGCCATATACTGTAGATAGAGTATTAATTATTAATAATACTAATGATGGAACAGAGAAAATCAAAACAGTTAAAACAATCTTTAGATAAATAAGAAGACCTGAATTTGGTGATAAATTTTCAAGTCGTCATGGTCAAAAAGGTGTTGTTGGTCTTATTGTTAATTAAGAAGATATGCCTTTTAATGAAAGAGGATGGTGTCCTGATTTAATTATGAATCCTCATGGTTATCCATCTAGAATGACAATTGCTAAATTAATGGAACTATTATGCGGTAAATTGGGAGCTTTGGAAGGTAAATTTAAATATGGTACTGCTTTTGGAGGAGAGAATGTATTATAGGTAGGAGAAGAATTATTAAAAAGAGGATTTCATTATTAAGGAAAAGATTGTTTAATATCTGGAATTACTGGGGAATATATGGAATGTTATGTATATTAAGGACCTATTTTCTATTAAAGACTTAAGCATATGGTTATTGATAAAATTCATGCTAGAGCGAAAGGACCAATGGAAAAACTTACTCGTTAACCTGTTGAAGGTAGAGCTAAGGATGGTGGTTAACGTATAGGAGAAATGGAGAGAGATTGTTTTTTAGCATATGGTGCTTCAAATTTATTAATTGAAAGATTATTAATATCAAGTGATCCATTTAATGTATATGTTTGTGAAATATGTGGAATGTTTAAGAGTGATTCTGTTTGTAGAGGTTGTAATACAGATAAAGTATATTAAATTAGATTGCCATATTGTTGTAAATTATTATTTTAAGAACTTTTGGCAATGAATATTAAACCAAAATTATAATTAGTACCTTCTCATGAGAGATAAGAGTATACAATGAATTGAA